GTTTGCTTTTTGAGATATGATCTCATATATGATATGCTTAGAGTGGCCCAGGGTGTGATCCTCCTATTTGTGCTGCCTTGAGTTGCTGAAAATGACAGGTACAAGCCACTATACTCATCCACTTTGCTTCACCTGTAATTGGAATAACAGATATGCATCACTGCACCCAATTATTGGTTGACATAGACTCTCAATAATTTTTTTATGCCTAGGCTGGCCTTGAACCACAATCCTCTAATCTCTTTCTTCCAAGTGGCTATGATTATAGGCATGTGCCACTATGTTTAGCTCCAGTATTTTGTAGGTATTTTATTTATTTTAAAGGAGACAATCTGCAGGTCAACAACAGCTTTACAAGCATTTATTAAGTTATAATCATAGGCAAACCATGAAAACAAAATGAAGGAAAAACAAATATAGTTTAGAAGTGAAAACAGACATGACACTAATCTCAATTGCATTAAAATTATTTGGGTTTAATTGCTGTTTTTCAACTACCTAGTAATGAGGTCAAGAACTTAGATCATTATTATCATTATATCCTCAACATGTATCATACCTCTTATACTTAATAAGAGAGGCAGCAAGACTTTCCTAGGTTCCAGTGTCTAGCTCAAACTGATGACAGGACATTACACCTCTGGGTGATTTTGGCCTAGATACAATGCTAATGGATTTCCTTGAAACAATATCTCAGCTCTGTCAATCTCCATCTTGCCTCCCTAGAACAGGGACACATCAGCTACGGATGTGGTTGTAGTTCCATTCTTTATTTGTAGTTGGCCAATACTCATACAGCACTCCATATTTGTCAATAAGTAGATCAAACAGATGATCTGAATATACTGTGATGAATATTAAGAAAAGGCCCATGTGCAAGACATTAAGATGTGTGACAAGGACACAGACTCTTCACAATGGACTTAATGCAGAACAGTAGAAGGGAAATTGCAGACTTCTGCATGTACATTTGTATTAAGAGGGACATCTGAGTCTGGCACTGGTGGCTCCTGTCTGTTAATTCTAGATACTCAGAAAGCTAAGATCTTGGGTATCATGATTTGAAGCTGGCTCAGGCAGAAAAGCCTAAGAGACTATCTCCCACAAAAATCAATAAAATGCTAGGATGAAGGTCTGGCTCAAACGGTTTAGAGTGCCAGGTGAAAGTAAGCTGAGCAAGTACAAGGTCTTGAGTTCAAACTTCAGCATCACTAGATAGGAGAAGAAAGGAGAGGAGAGGAGAAGACATGAGAGGAGAGGAAAGAGGCAGAGAGATACACAGGAACAGAGAGTCAGAGACAGTGGAAGCAAGAGAATCTTCAGTGAGGCTGATTTTTATGTTTATTATTATTTTGGCAGTATGGGGTTGAACTCACGGCTTTAAGCAAGTGCTCTCCCACGTGAGCCATACTTCCAGCCAAGAGCTGATTATTGGTAATCAATTTTTGCTTTTTGTTCAAAGCACTAAATATTGCTTAGCAAGCCTTCCATTTGGGAAGTACTTTTGCCTCTAGGAGGTTAAACAGGGCCAGGAGGGGCGTAGAGAAACAAATATTTGGCTTTGATGCTTAGGTATAAAGAGGTAAAATACATACAGAATTCCATGGTTTGAACAAAACTAGAAAGGCAGCCAGGGTATAAGTCAGGGGTGGCATTGGAGTCTGTACAGCTAGCTCTAGAACATGCTCTTTAATCTTTGTATCTAGGCAATGGAAGTGCAGCATCAGAATGTGACAGGAATTTATCTCAAGACAAACACTGATTAGGTGGCCATATGATTGTTGTTACCTATTAAAATTCTAACTCTGTCCTTTTGCTTGTCCTGGCTTTACAGCATTAAAACAAGCTGATTCTTTACCATCACTCCTGAGCTCTTCATTCTTCTACAAAAATTGACTTCTATGCTTCCCTGTTTTCAAAAAGAAAATAATAGAAAATAGCAAAAAACCCAATGCCACCAAAAACATTTCCTGGTATCTTAACTTTTATGTCTAAGCCTATTGCTATCTTTAAAATAATGAATTATGGACACTAAGTACATTCTTCTGTGGGCCATTTGGATTAAGTTCTCTGTGTGCATAAGATTACTTGTTCTCCTTATAAATGTAGCACAATACCAAGCTTAAGCAAACACTCAATTCTTTGATGGCTCACATAACAAGCCTAACATATTGGATATACTGCAGCTAAAATAAAATTAAAATTAAAATTTCAGGGATGAACTTCTTTCCTTATTTTTTTCAGACTATATATATTTTATTGTGAAAATACTGTACAGAGGGGTTACAATTACATGGGCAAGATAATGAGTACATTTCTTATCAAGCATTGTAGCCTCCTCCTTTGTTTCCCCTTCCCATCCCTTCCCAGCCTCCCCCACCCAATCCTCCCCACTCCCCCTCCCCCCCTCCCCAAAGTTGTAAAGTTCGTTTTTGACATAACAACTTGTACATCTCATGGTTGCAATGGGTCCACCTGTATCCCTTTTTAAACGATTTGTTTTTCCCCTTTCCCTCCACAAATTATACCAACATCAAATACAGTGAAAGCAGGGGTTATACTGTGGGGGCTCTCTCCTTATTTTTAATAGCATCCTGCTAGGATACCTTTATCAATTTTGAATTTGGCTTTTTTTGGGGGGGTCTGGTCGTGGGGCCTGAACTCTGGGCATGGGTGCTGTCCCTCAGTTCTTCAGCTCAAGGCTAACGTTCTACCACTTAAGCCACAGCGCCACTTCCAGATTTTTTCTTATGTGGTGCTGAGGAATCGAACCCAGGGCCTCATACATGCAAGGCAAGTACTCTACCACTGAGCCACTTTCCCAGTCCTGAATTTGGCTTTTAATGCTTGCTCCACAACCAAAATATTATACTATTGCTTATGAAATGAAAAGAGCAAAATTTGATGAATTTTGTGTGTGTGTGTGTATGGTGCGGTGGATTGAACTCTGGATCTCACATATGCTAGGTAAAAATTCTGTTAACTACATCCTCTGGGTGCATATAAATAAATAAATAAATATATATATACATACATACATACACACACACACACATATGTATCTCCTTGAGGTAGGATCTTGCTGGCCTCAAACTTGTGATCTTCCTGCCTCAGCTGGTGAGTAGCTGCTATTATAGTTGTGTACCATTATATCAGTTCCTGGAAAGAATTAAATAGCTTTATTAGTGTAAATTAATTATAGAAAGCAATAGGTTTCGGGGCTGGGAAGGTGGCTCAGTGGTAGAGCACTTGCCTTGTATGCCTGAGGCCCTGGGTTCGATTCCTCAGCACCACATAGGCAAAAAGAAAAAAGCCAGAAGTGGTGCTGTGGCTCAAGTGGTAGAGCTCTAGCCTGGAGCTGAAGAGCTGAGGGACAGTGCCCAGGGCCCAGAGTTCAGGCCCCACGACTGGACCCCCCCCCAAAAAAAAAGAAAGCAATAGGTTTCATTATGACATTGCACTATGTGCATACAATGTGCTTTAATCATACAAGAGTGGGTTCTTGTTCTCTGACAGTACAGAAATAAAGTCAGGAACAGCAAATGCAATTATAGTAGACTAATAATTTATTAACAAAGAAAAGTAAAGGCCACTCAGAAATGAGTGGTGGGACCTAAAAACTGGTTGTCTGTCATGTGGTCTGGGACCTTTTTCCTCCTCCCTTTAGTTAACTTGTCAGATTGTGATTGGTTTAAAACAGACAAGACTTTTCCCTGGGTAACAGCTGCAGGATGGTGGGCTAGGGTGCGCTTGTCCATCTTCCTCTTTGTGTTATGTTCTTTCGAAACCAAGGGCAAGTTATTCTTCCTTTGTCCCCTTCCTGCCTCCCTGTTTTCCCTTTCTGTGTTCCTAATAGTTCCCTTTTTATTCTCATGCTCTTCCCCTACCTGCATTCCACACGAGAGAATATTTGTGATTCTACCATTTATGGGATTGCCTGAGGTCACTTGACATGATCATCTCTGGTTTCATATTTTCCTGAAAGTGACAATCTCATTCTTCTTTATGGGTGAGTAAAATTCCACTGTATACACATACTACATTTTTTAGCCATCCATCCATTCACAGAAACCTATGTTGATTTCAGATATATTCTATTGTGCATCAATAAACATGGGCTTTCAGGCTTCTCCACAATAAACTGGCTTTGATTCTTTTAGACTCAAACTATCCCAGAACTGGGATAGTTAGATCATATCGGAATTCTGTTTTCAACTTTTTGAGGAATCTGCATACGAACTCCATGTGTCTGGACTAACTTTCCCACTAGAGGTTCTTTCTGCATTTTACCAACATTTATTGTTTTATTGATTAGACATTTTTGGAAAACAAAATGAAATCTTAACATGGTTTTGCATGGGATTTCTCTGATAACTAAATAGTCAATATTTCTTCATGTATTTACTGGTTATCTGTACATCTTCATTTGAAAAATATCTGTTCACTCTCATTGCCTATTTACTGATCATTGGCTCTACTGTTGTTTAATTTTTTAAATATTTTTTATTGTAAAGATACTGTACAGAGGGGTTACAGTTACATGACTAAGGTAATGAGTACATTTCCTATCGACCATAATTACCCCCTCCTTTGTTTTTCCACTATTTCTTCCCTTCCGGCTTCCCCAACTCCTCCCTCCCCACCCCCAACTAATAAAGTTTGTTTTCAACATAGTGTCTTGTACATCTCATTGTTACAATGGGTCAACCTGAATCCTTGGTTCAGCATTTTCTTATTTCCCTTCCCCTCTCTGTTGTTTAATTTTTTATCTCTGCATATATTCTAGATGTGAATCTTCAGCTGGATGGATATTTGGGAAAGATTTTAACCCATTCTCTTCACTCTTGTATTTCTTTTGTTGATAAATGCTATTAATTCCTGAACTACTGGAGTTCTATTCAGAAAGTTATACTGTTATTTTCAGATCTTGAAGGGTGTATTGAGTCCTCACAGTTCTTGGAGAGGATGACAAGACTTTGAATAATTTACCAACACATGGATGTTTTTATCATTCACCAAGAAATATAACTCATATTGTTTATTTGATCATAGCTAGTTGCTTCATAACATGACTTTTTAAAATTAAATTTTTATATTTACTTAAAGTTTTTTGTGAAAAAAAGCAACATGCTTTCAAAGACAGTCTTCACATGAACCTATGCTTGACTATGTAGCAGACCAAAGATAGCCACAAACCTGCCATTTTTAAAACTGCATATAAGATCTAAGCTTATGCTCACTTTAAATTATTTCCTCTAAACTTTTGCTAAGTAATTCTAAACAAGTACAACAAAACATTAGAAGCTTTTAGTGGTCATCTGAAGATTTTAAATGTTCTTTTTTGTTTTTTTCTTCTCTGCTTCTTCCTTTTCTTTTTCTATTTCAGTTACTTGGAATTCAATTTCTTTGGCACTAAACATCTGAAAAGAGGAAAAATTTTAAAAAGCAAATTTTAGTTACATTGGTATCTAAATATTTCTGTCTATAATTTTGCATTTTGTCACTTCAAATATACAGTGAAATGTTTTATAAGACTCAAAAACAACAAACTTGTAATAAGATCAGATCTCTGATATCTCCATTATTACTACATTTTGAAAAAAAGTAAAGCAAAATGTATGTTGAATTACATATCATATATGTTTAACTGAAAAATTTTCAACAGGCAATTTATTTCTATTTGTAAGTAAATGACTCATTATTGAACTCCCTTTGACTCACCCTATTGTGTGATTCTGTAACAGGGTTTATCTATTTGGTCAGTTCATAAATTGTCAAAAGAGGTAAGTAAAGATGATTTGCATTGTGTTTTAATGTCTCCTCCACTAGGCTGAAAGTAAGAAGTCTGTATCTTCTAAAAATGTGCAATGTTGTTTTTAACATTTCTATTGTATGTCTCACACACAGATCCAATATTACACAATTGCTGCTATAGACTACTTAAATAAAGTTAAGGAATTTATATAGGGAGACCTGAATAAATTTCCTTATTAATGAAAAAGGTATTTAGTGACTAATAAGGAAATAACCAACTTTACTAGATGGCAGTTTTTCAAGAGATTTTAGCAATTAGCCCATTACCATATTTTACATAAAAGGGAGCTAAGAGTAAAACCAGCAGAGGAATTAACAATTAGCCCTCTGACTTCTGTTTCAATTTCAGAATTCTTTGTATTGCACTACTGTATTTCAAAGAATCTGTCTTTGTCAATAATATACGTAAAAGCTGTTATCTGAATATATTATGGAGGGAACTTAACCTGAAACATTTACTGGGAGATCTATGTGCTCTGAAAATAAGGTGGATTAACATGTAAATCTTGCTTGCTATAATATTCCATAGTTAGGCAAATAATTAGGTGATTATGTCAAAACTCTGAATAAAGTGGTATGACATTATTTGTGCAAGAGTCTAAGAAGCCTTAACATTTAAAATCAGATCTTGAGTATAAGCTTTTTTGTATTTGAGGCAGTCTTGAATATAGCCCAGACTGGTTTCAGATTCTTCTTTTGGCCTCCTGATTGCTGGGATTATAGACATGAGTCCTCACATCCAGCAACTAGTGTATGAACATGTTGAAATTAAAGAGGTAGCCAGCTACATCCTGCTAACTGCCCTCCACCTTGTGCTGAATACACACAATTACATATATTTTTAAAAAGAAGATATTAAAAGCTTATAATGAAATACAGCATTTCCTTGATCCATTCACTGGGAGAGGTTCAATGTATTTTCTTTTTTCTTCTTCTTCTTCTTTTTTTTTTTTTTTGCTGGTCGTGCAGCCTGAACTCTGGGCCTGGGCACTGTCCCTCAGCTCTTCAGCTCAAGGCTAGCTCTCTACCACTTGAGCCACAGCGCCACTTCCAGCTTTTTCTCCTTATGTGGTGCTGAGGAATGGAACCCAGGGCCTCATGCATGCAAGGCAAGCACTCTACCACAGAGCCACCTTCCCAGCTCAGTTCAATGTATTTTCAAGTGAAAAGTAGAAAAAAAAAAGAGATGAAAGCCAGCAGACATAGGCTGGGGATGTAACTCAATAGCAGAGCACTGCCTAACATCTGCAAAGCTCTGGGTTTATTCCCCAGGATAGGGATGGGGTAATGGGGTTTGGAGAGGAGACAACAGCAGATAATAAAAAAGTGAGGGAAGTCTTTTGACATAATCAAAGATAACATCATGTAGAAACCTAGAAGGCCAATAACATAAAAACAGCAGCCTATTGACACTGGTGAGAATATCTTGATTTCAGAGATATAAAAAACAGGAAAAGGAACTGTTCTCTGGATGGTACTAGCAATTCCATAGGGAATATGCTAGTCAGACCTCACAGAGGACTGAATCGGTAGATGTTCCTATTCACAGGAACTAAACTGGGAGGCTTATACAGAAATCTGAGTCTGACCAAATCTTCACAAAGAGACTGGGGCTGTAAATACTGCCAAAAACCATATATAAATTAGTGACTATTAACCTACCAAAACAAAATGGAAGTCTTGGGGTACAAATGGATGTCTGTCTTTTGCTTATAATGAAGACTCACAGGTATCAACAATCTTCAACTTTTGTCAAAATATATTATTGATTTTTTTCCTCTTTGGTTAATGACTTACCTTCAATGGTTGATTTCTTCTTATTATAGCCAGTTCAATATTTTTTCCACCAGACTGGACAACCTAATAAAGAAAAAGTACATATCAGAACTAGTTTAACTGGTTTGAGATGTAGTTAAATGTGTGTCCCTGGGTTTGATCCCTAGCACCACAAAACACACACAGACACAGACACATCAGCACATTTTGTGTTTAATAAAATGTATTAGAAAAAAAACAATGTGATTTTCTGAGTGCTTTCTTAGATCACTTACTTCTAGCAAAGCTCTTATTGCTAGCTTGATAGCTTCATAGTCATTTGCTATGGCATCTTCTGTGTAATTCTTTTCTAGAAATTCTCTAACAGTTTTAGCACTTCGACCTATTGCATTGGCCTTGAAAAAGAAAGAAGTAATTATTAGTACCACTGAAATATGAACAAACGTATGTGAATTTAGGATTCTGGAGTTTACTCCAATATTCCTTACTAGAAATACAATGTAAAAAGTTACGTGAAAATTTAGTAAACATTCTAGAAATGCATTTAGAGTTTTTCATAATTCATAAATGGTAATGATGTTTCTGGGTAGTTTAATGGCTGCCAGGTCCTTTATATCTAGAGAAGACAGAAAAAGCTGGAGAGAGTGAGTTCTAGGCCAGCTTGGGCTATACAGTGAGTTTGAGGCTAGCCTCAGCTAATGAGACTCTTTCTCAAAAAACAAATAACAAGCCTGGTGCCGGTGGCTCACGCCTGTAATCCTAGCTACTCAGGTAGCTGAGATATGAGGATCATGGTTCAAAGCCAGCCCAGGCAGGAAAGTCTGGGAGACTCTTCTCTCCAATTAACCACCAAAAAGCCAGAAGTGGCACTGTGGCTCAAGTGGCAGAGTGCTAGCCTTGAGCTGTAGAGCTGAGGGACAGTGCCCAGGCCCAGAGTTCAAGCCCCGTGACCTACAAAAAACCCCCCCAAAACAAATAACAAACCAATAAAAGACATCAATGTCAATGTAAAAAAGGAAACTATTTATATGAATATAACTTCTATGAGAAAATGGAACTTTAAGTCATTTCCTGTGACTTAAGAAGCAAAAAGGGCTTCTATTCTATTTCCTATTTTCTCTGTTCTTTGAAATGTTCACACATAGATGAAATTTTTACACACAGATGAAGGAAATGGGCAAACGGATCTCTGTGCTTGCAAGGCTATTGGTAGCAGACAGTATGTTCGTTTCATTTAGTCTAAATAAGGAGGTCATTACAACTGATGATGATGATGATGACGACAACATGTTAATGGAACACTTACGTGTCAGGCATTATGTTGTTTTAACTGGATTTTCTTGTTAGTAGTACTTGGGTTTGAACTCAGAGCCTCATGCTTGCTAGGCAAGTACTCTACCACTTGATTCCTGCCCTAAGTGGATTATCATTTAACCCTTATGAAAATGATTAATAGGTATTATCTTGAATACAAACTCTTGGATGAAGACATGGGGGCTTGGAGTTCTTTAAACTCAACATTATTAGTTTTTATCATGTGTGTTCTATGAATTGTAGGTTACTTTGCAGTCTTAATTGATTTGGGTCAAGTAGCATCTTCACCCTAGTCTAACAATCAAATATATCTCCAGATATTATCCAATTTCTCTCCCTGTCTCTGTCCCTGTCCCTACCCTGCCCCCTCTGGTGCCAGCACTGAGGCCTGAACTCATGGCCTCACACCAATAATGAAAACATGCTCTAATCACTGGACTATACTAGCTTTTAGGTCTTAAGAGACACAGTCACAAAGCTGAGGTGGTTCACATTGAGCAGAAGACTGATGTACAATTTCTTGCCAACAGCCTTGACAATAAGTTCTGGGTGGATTACTATGACATTGCCTCCCCCCACCTGGATCACAATGTATTAGCTATGAACTTTTATTCAACTTCCTGGTCATCTTAGTCAAAAAGATCGTCGACTAACAATGTTGGGGAGTTCTGGATAAAGGGCTTGTACAGATCATCTTGTTCCTCATGTGTATCTACTGGTGTCATCAGAAGGCTTGACGTCCAGGTCATGTATCCAAGAATTCAGGGGCACTATATTCACATCAGTTACAACTTTACAGTATAGTCAGTTTCTTGATCAAATTGTAATTAATTTTTTGTCAGCTGGGGCCTTGTTATAATTAAACATTAGGTCTTACATTCTATAAACAAACTACATTTCTACCTCCCCTACCATTGGGATACAATCTAACTTTGTAGTAGTTCAAGCTGGTCTGAAAATAATGATCCTTATTCCTTTGCCTCAAGAGGCAAACCCAATTTCCTGACTGAATCTTCAGCAGCTCAGGATTTTTTTTTTATTTTCTAGTGTACCCAACACAAACCCAAATTTAACCCAAACTCTGTGGCATCTTTCACATGTCTCTTGTTGATGATATTCTTAAGACTGTGGTAATCATCTGCTCTGGAGTGCATGGTTTCGCTGAGTTTTGCTGCAATGACAGAGATGAAAAATTCTTATGTGGCCAAGCTTGCTGCCAGGATGAAAACTGCCATTGGTCATACTGAAGACTGGAACAGGCAAGGGCAACTGTGGCAGTAGGATGATTACTTGGGAATTGTTACCCAATTCCTTCTCTATGGTACCAGATTTATGAACAGCAAGGGACAGACACCTCAGCACAACATCCCTAAAATGTTAGATTTACTTTGCCTTCTATTCATATTGATCATCTGTCTACCAATCTTCTGTCCCATCATACTTATTTCTTGCTAACCAGGGTAGATTTAATAGCTTTACTCTCGTGAAGAACAGCTTTTGCAGAATCCTTCCCTATAGCATGAATCCCCCATGAATTCCCTATACCATGAATTCCCCAAACGGGTGTGTGTGGGGGGGAGGTAATGCAAGAGGGCATATTTCTAATAGAGGACATGATAATTTTACTGAGTTAGATGATTACACTGCTATTTATCTAGTTTGGACTCCTCATGCCACTGAATAAACAAAGAAAAGATAGTGTGATTTGTTCTGATTATCAATAGACATAAAGTAACTATGAGTCAATGGGATCAGGAAGGAGGTACTAGAACTCAAAGGATTTTCTGGGGATCTCTGTTACCATTCCTATATAAAGTGAAAAATCAATGGAGAGCTATATAACCCAACATTAGTATCAATGGTACCGATTTTCAGAAATAAGAGTTGTAGGGCTCAATGATAGACCTCTTATGTAGCATGTGTAAGGCCTTAAATTTGATCCCTAACCATTTTTCTTCATGTTAGGGACAATTTTTAAAACTGTTATTGTAAAGGGATGTTCAGAGAGGGTTACAATTACATAAGTCAGGTGATGAGTACATTTCTTTTTTCATGTATTAGGTAACAAACTCCAAACTAAAGTGTTGGTCCCAGCTAGTTCTAGCATTTCTACAATGTATCATGAGTCACCCTTCAGATTTCTACTAAAAATTCCACATTTTCTCTTCCGATATCTTGTTAAACTGCAACTCCACCTTGCAGAACGTTGTCACATTAGTGCCATAGCTATTTCCCCAAGTCCACTGAGCCAGAATACTGAGCCAGGATACCTGGTACAGTAAGTCAGGGTAAAAAACAGAACAAATGAAACACAGAAACAAACAAACAATGAACAACTGAGTCTCATAGTTAAAATGTTAATACAAAAAAAGAAATCAGAAGTAGAAATCATGTCAGAAGATTTCATTCTATCTCCTAAGAATGAATATTCTATCTCCAAGAATGAATATCAGAATTTGTATGATAGGCACAGAAAATCATTGTGCATATGGAAGGTAGCATTATGTAGTAGAAAGAATCAAACTTATTCCTGATAGCTTCCACTAATTGCCATTTACTCGGAATGCAAACCTAAAATAAAATCATTTCAGCCTCAAATCTCAGTTACTAAGTATGTAAATTGAACATTTTTTATATTTTTGTTATAGAGTTTTAAGTTCCATTGTAATTCCTTCCCCTACAACACCAAAGGAGTGCACAGTATGTAAGACACATGAAATGACCATTGTGTGGGTTCTATGTCTGCCTGTGGGTACATGCAGAGGCAGTTCACACTCTCCCCATTCCAAATGTGGCCTGCGGTCACCACAGAAAGATCATCATCAACGACATTTCCAACAGTTCAAAAATCCACAAATTTCTTAAGCTACTGTAACAACATAAAAAGACTTTTCTGGATATCCCTAGAAAGAAATCAGATTAAAATTTTAAGAATTACGTTAACTTGGAAATTGTGTTATGTTGTATTTTGATACTTAAATGAAGAGTGAAAATGTAATGACAAATGCAGACAGAAGATGGCAGGCTTCAAAATATTTCAAGCTTGCTTTCATTAGGTTATTGACTTGGGAGGTACAAGAAACCTAGTACAAGTAAAAGATTTCTTATTGGCAGAAAAAAATGTATTTGCATCAGATAAATCTATACCTTTTGATTACCAATTAGAATACCTAGGCAGATTAAAAAAGCTGACATTTGTTGCAAAGTTATAATCTACTGCTTTACTGGTCTGTTTAACTGTTAAAAAACTATCAGAGCAGGTGCTCCAGCCTGTAATTCTAGCTACTCAAGAGGTTGAGATCTGAGGATTGAGGTTTGAAGCCAGCCTGGGTAAGCTTCCTGGAATTCATTGACCTGTTAATTGTTCAAAGGTGTTATACTATGTAAACCCACCCCTCCAATTTGATTATATATTACAATATGGCCCTGCAAGTGTTTTGGTATGTTTATATTTTAGATTTAACTTTCATAAAATGGAACTGTTTAAAGCCTGTGTACTTAAAACTTTTAATGAAGTAAAAGATCCCCTACAGTAAATTCTATAACATACATAGTCTTATTCTTTTATAGAAGAACATATGAAAATTCACTTCTGGAAACTACTACTAGTTTCTCTGGTTCCTAGACTTTGGTACTGGATTTGAGTGTATCTTTAAATAAAGAGCTGGTACTAACAAAAAATAACAGCTCATCCAGAAAATAAACTACTCCAGGATCCAGGAATCTTGTGGAAATTATAGCTATATGTTAAAACCTAAGTATATAACATAGGTTTGGAGGATCTGACTCTAGTAGAATAGAGGACATGTTAAATATTTCAGGGTGGGGTTTAAGTGCTCATCAAATTCTGTGTGTGTGTGCGTGTGTGTGTGTGTGTGTGTGTGTGTGTGTGTGTGTGTTGGTACTGGGGCTTGTACTTAGGGCCTGGGCTCTGTCCCTTAGCTTTTTTCACTAGTCTAATACTTGAGCTACAGTTCCCCTTCCAGTGTGTCTATGTGAGAGAGTGTTGTGTATTGTGTGGTTAATTGGAGATAGAAGACTAGGTGATGAGATCTGAGGATCACGGTTAAAGCCAGCCCAAGTAGGACAGTCTGTGAGACTCTAATCTCTAATAAACTAAGAAGCTCAGGGACAGTGTCTATAGACATTGAGTTCAAATTCCAGGACCAGCACAAAAATAAAAGAGTCTAATGAACTTCCCTTCCAAGGCTAGCTTTGAACCCTGATCCTCAGATCTCAGGCTCCTAGATGTGTGGCCAAATTTTTAATTAAAAGCAAATACTGTACTACTTTTACTTAAAGCAAGCATCTTAGGACACAATACTAACATAGTAACATGGAAGAATGAACTGGTAAGGAACTGTATAGTATTTCTCTTACTTGGCCTGTTATAAACACTTAGATCTGTTATATCTTTTCAAAAGTAAGGAAAAGAATCTATTATTTTCATTATTCATAATCATTATTTTTTGACTAAGTGACTATAACTATAAAGTTTGTGTATATCATTTTGTAATATCCCCTGAAAACAATAATTATAATGCATATATTCAAGTTCTAAAAAATAATAAATTCATTACTCACTTTCCAAGCATGATAGGTACCAGAGGGATCCGTCTGATACAATCTTGGGATGCCGTCATCATCAAAACCTACAATTAAGGCAGAAATACCAAAAGGTCTTCTTCCATTGCTCTGGGTATATTTCTGTAAAATAAAATTTATTTTTTAGGATAACACTATTACTTATCAAATAAAACATACTGTATAACAAATAAAACATTGCTGACAAAAATTACCTATGTACTTTTTGCTGTACCAGGGAGTAAATTCAGGACCATGATGTTACTAGACAAGAGCTCTACCACTAAAACCATGCCTCTAATCTTTTTGTTATCTTTCTCAGATACTATCTCCCTACTAACTTCACCTAGACAGGCCACCTGCCTCTGCCTTCAGAGTTTGATTCTTATTTTATTCTAAAACTGTATTTTATACCATTTTAGGGCTCTTTCTGGACTAATTTCAATTCATAACAAACTTAAAGGAAATTAATATACATAATTAGGAAAATAAAATCCCAAGTTTGCTTCTACGTGACCTTGAGATGTGTTTTGTTGCTTTGTGTACAACTTGGCAACATAACTACTACACCTAAGTCTCTTTAATAGAGGAGAAGATTGGGGGGTTATGCACATCATTTTGGCTCTCAGTAAAGCTGATTTCAATAAGCTATGCTTTGGAAGCACATCCTGGTCTACCTTGAGGGACACTAATTGTTACTATTATTACCAAGTATTCTTACTTGATACTATTATTATCAAATGTTTTGTTCACTCTATGCTAGGTTATCTCTACTTAGAAATCCAAATGAAATGTTTCTTTCAGCCACATGTAAAAGGACCTTTTGTTTCTCCTGAAGAAAAATTATTCTTTCTTCTCAAAGACAATGCAGTCCTGGAAACGAATTATATTCCTTATTACAATAGTGACAAGGGACTTCTTGGACATGTGCTGGCTGCAAGGAGTGGAATTCCCACTGAGAATAGTGCTCCTAAAGTCATACAGAGGCAGCCCTGGAAAAAAGCTGAGGACTAAATATGTAGGCCACTTTATATAGGTGTCTGTTTGTGGTTCTATGTTAACTCTGTATACAACTCTGTGATTTCAATTAACTTTATAGTAGCTTTTCTCTAGGCCTTATCTATGTATAAGATCTTACTATTCAATTTTGCTAAATTATATGAATTTTTACAAGCCATTTCAAAATTTGAATGCAAACAATTGAGGCACCAATATAAATAACCTTATCAAAAATAAGGGTGCTGGTGGGTGCTGGTGGCTCAGACCTATAATCCTAGCTACTCAGGAGGCTGAGATCTAAGGATCAAGGTTTGAAGCCAGCTCCAGCCAGAAAGTTCATGAATCTTATCTCCAATTAACTAGCAAAAAGCTGTAAGTAGAACTGTGGCTCAAGAAGGCAGAGTGCTATCCTTGAGCAGAAACAACTAAGGAACAGTGCTCAGTCCCTGGAATTCAGTCCTCAGTATTGGTATTGGAAAAAAAAAAGCATTTCACACCTAGATATGATGCCATGCAAATATATCTTATTTACTTATTAATCTTTTTTCAATGAAAAATTAATATATGCATAGGGGTAAAATGATATATAAAAGACACAAATGAGATACCTACTTTCTGTCCCAGATCTCCAAGTCTCTCCAGGGGCAATCCTACTGTGACAGACTTGTAACTATGTTTTAAAAAATGTTCTGTGCTTAACCTTGGTAATTCTAGAAGAAATTCTATACTTTTTGGTGGCTACCTTTGTAACAACTTGCAAAATCAAAGCAAATCAAATAGGAAGGTCATATGAAAATATGAGATTTTCTGCCACAGCTTAAACAAGGTTAAAAAGGCCCAAAGGGGGGGAATTTTGTTCATAAGTCCATCATTTAAAACTTCAGTATACAAAAGAATCTGTAAAATATCTCTACATAGACAGATGATAATAGGTTTGCCAGAAAATCTGCTAGAAACATATTAAATTATGCATTATATCACTTAAAATAGGCATTATGCATAATATTCATTTTATATATAAGAAAAATTGAAATATTCAGTTTTCCTAAGGCACTAAAAATTAGAAAAATCAGAATCAAATTTCAAAATTCTAGCTCTTAAGGACACACTATGTTTTAAATTGTATTTATTATTATCACTAAGTAGTCACTAAGGAATTAGTATTCAACCAATCAGTTTATAAGTATAACACATCTTGATTAATGTCACCTAATTCATCATTCTCCATTATTCTTCCCAACCCAACCCCTCTTCCTCTCAATTTTATTAATTTAATAGGACATATATTGAATCTTATGACTGCATTCTTCCTCCTTCCTCTCTTAATTAAAAAAATGTTTTGTTTTTTTTTCCCCTCAAGGCTAGCATTCTACTACATGAGTCTTAGCTCCACTTGTGGGTTTTTAATGTTTAATTTGAGCTAAGAATCTCAAGGACTTTCCTGTCTAGAAACGGCTTTGAAATATGATCCTCAGATCTCAGCCTCCTGAGTGGATAGGATTAAAGGCATAAGTCACTATCATCTGTGAAAGACACACTCACTAACTGAATTGCCACTTCTAAGAGAGTATACATTAGCCAGGTGTGCTGACTGTAATCCCAGGTACTTGGAACCCAAATCACAGTTCAAAGCTCACCTGGGAATAAAGCATGTGAGACTCCTTTCTAAATGAATAGCTGGCTATGGTGACATGAGACTGTCAGCCCAGCTACAGGGAGGGCTGACATTAGGATAATTAAATTAGGACAGACTGGGCTTCTAGACATTGGCAAGACTCTTCCTCAATTGGAAGAAGGAGGACATGGTGGCATGAGCTTGTTATCCCACTTAATGTGGGAAATGTAAAACAGGAAGATCACAGTCCATGCCTGTGGAGAAAGTGAGAACCTGTTTCAAAATTAGAAAACTTGTCTAGCAAATGTGAGGACCCAAGTACCACAGAAAAAGAATGCAAATAGCAACCACAATACTACAATACTACAATGACAATGTAATATTTATTTGTAAAATAAAGAAAAAGAAGAAATTCAAAGTTGACGATGCCCTGGGTACAGCTAGCTGCACAATAAAATTGGTTCAGTCAACTGTAGTATAGTTAACAAGAAAATAACTACACGGATGATGTTGTAATATATAAAATATATATAAACAAGTGAAAATGTATCATGATTATACTTAATACATCAGAATTATACTTCAATGCTTATCTATGTACAGATTTAGAAGAAATTATACCTAAACAAGATCAGGTATGTTTGGGTTTGTAGGTCAGATTTAAAGAAGGGTTATTACTTTATCTCTAAAAATATAGAACTTTCCTTAAAAGAATAGACTTACTGTTTTTTAAAATTTCCTTTTATTCCTAAAATTGAAACTGATTAAGATTTTCTGTGATAAAAGTAATCCATTCTACCTGAATAAGTGTTTGAAATAATTGTGAGAATAAGGTATTTAGTAGATTTATTTGAGTGAATTCTTATAGCATTTATATGATAGGACCTGCTAAGACAGAAAATAAAACAAATGAAGACATCTGCTTACCTGCTTTAAAGTTGCAATGAAGCGAGTTATGTATTCTACAGTGACTGGGTCTTCAACTGTAAGCTTATGGCTCTGGCATTCCACCCGGGCTCTGTTTATCACTACTCTTGCATCAGCAGTCAGTCCTGCAAAAATAATTAAAACTTCACAAAGATGTATCTTTTTTTTTGGGGGGGGGGTCCAGTAGTGGGGCCTGAACTCTGGGCCTCGGCTCTGTCCCTCAGCTCTTCAGCTCAAGGCTAGCGCTCTACCACTTGAGCCACAGTGCCACTTCTGGCTTTTTTTTTTTTGCTTATGTGGTGCTAAGGAATCGAACCCAGGGCCTCGAGCATGCAAGGCAAGCACTCTACCACTGAGCCACCTTCCCAGCCCCCAAAGATGTATCTTTTTATATTATTATATTTGTCTGTGTCAAAGGACTTTCAACTTCATCAAATCTTTCTTAAAACTTCATTTTTTCCTTCAATGTCGTTTCTGAAGGGATTGTAATAGGAAAAGTACAACTTACATATTGATTTCCTTTTAGAAATTTAAACTGATACGTTCTAGTTTTTAAAGAAACTACATACTAGTTTTAAAGAAACTAGTTATTAAGAATGATAGTCAAAATTCACAAGAGGTTTTTCTTTTAATGTACTATGTGATTTTTTTTTTTGTTTCTTTTGTATGTTCTTTCCCCCTATGGTATATCCCCTGTTGTCACTGTATTTGATTTTGGTGCCCTGGTATTGTATATATATATTTATTTGAATTAGGGAAGGGAAGAGGAAAAATAGAATGGTGAGACAAAGGATAAGGGGGGAACCAATGCAACAGCAACATATACAAGACAATATGTAGGAAATGATCTGTACAACTTTGTGGGGGAGGGAAAGTAGAAGAAAAATGAGGGAAGGGGTAACAAGCTTGACAAGAAATGTACTTATTACCTTATGCAACTGTAACCCCTCTGTACATCACCTTGACAAAAAAAATGCTACTAGTGAGCTGGATTTTTTTTTAACATGAAAACGTTCTTTTACATGAAAATGGGTTGGGGATTTAGCTCAGTGGGATAGCACTTTCCTAATAAAGTACAAGGCCCTGAGTTCAATCCTCAGCTCTATAGAAAGGAAGGAAGGAAGGAAGGAAGGAAGGAAGGAAGGAAGGAAGGAAGGAAGGAAAGATGGCGCTCGCCTTGAACTGAAGAGCTGAGGGACAGCGCCCAGGCCTAGAGTTCAAGCCCCACGACCGACCAAAAAGAAAAAAAGTAGATAGTATTTAGAGGGGCCCATCAGCTGAACTGGATATTGATGAAAATGAACTAAGCAACTCAAGGGCAGTGATGGGAGAGAGAGAATGAGAGGGAAAAAGGGAACAGCTAACACTAAGCAAGAGGAAAGCAATGTACATATCACCTGATGTGGTAGAAATAGTTGTATTATCAAAGCTCATAGAATTCACGAACTTTATAGACCGTGAAGGTTAAAATGTGTTTGTGACTTTAATTATTACTATCCCACAATACTGTGAAATTTGTGAAATTTATGTAATCACTTAATCTCAATACAAAAATTATAAAAAAATAGGTTCTATTGTCTGTTTTTAGTAAAAGCTGGGTGATGTAACTACATATGTTGTACAAACATGTAAAAATATTAATTAATATTAGCAACCATTGTGTTTCCATACAACAGTATGTTTCCATGTTAGTGTAGGGCCATAAGTACCTGCAAAGGCCATGCAAACATGGTCATCAAGAGCACAAATTTTCCTCACAGTTCTTTCATCTTGAAGCTTGGCAACTGATTTTTTTTCTACTCCAAGGACAACTATATTGGTTCCTCGAATTCCAACCTGTCAGGTCAAATAGAAAATAATTAATTTTAAATTCAAAACTGACAAGTTATTCTAGCATATGACTTAAAGGAAAGGGTGTGTTGCTAAACATTTAATAAAAATGAAAGAAAAATAAGACTTCTGGGAAAACAAGTGCATAAGTTCAGGCTTTCTGGCAGCCCATTCCCCAAACTCAAAACAAAGACCAAATAGGTAGAAAAAGCAAAGAAAATACTACCAACAAAGAAATGACAAGTGTCCTGATTTCATACCTCAAAGGCACTATCTAAACATAGTACAGTCTTAACCAAAGTGAAAGAAGATATTGTTCATCCATACAAATTGCTACTATAGTGGCTGATAATGGCAGTGATAAAAAAAAAGTCTAAGGGGACTGAAGTATAGATGATTGATAGGACATGTGCCTAATATTTACAACACTGTGTTCAATCTCTAGTAAAAGAAGAAACTATGACTAAGTTGGCTTTGAGCTTCAATTTCTTTTTCTTTTTTTTTTTTTTTAAGTCCGGTCGTGGGCCTTGAACTCTGGGCCTGGCCGCTGTCCCTCAGCTCTTCAGCTCAAGGCTAGCGCTCTACACTTGAGCCACCTTCCCAGCCTGAGCTTCAATTTCTAAGCCTGAAGTACTGTAAAAAATAAATTGTTGTTTATAAATTACTGAGTATATAATATTGTTACAGAAGCCAGAATGAACAGAGAGGCCAAAAGTAGCCGAGAAAGCGACAGGATCACAGGTTATGAGGGGTTGCCTTCAGAAGGAATTAACACAGCTCTTATGAGATCCCTGAGTTAATTCTCTTGAGAGATTTTATTTTTATTTTATTGATGTTTTTTTCTGGTCCTGGGACTTGAATCCAGGGCCTAAGCACTGTCTCTGAGCTTTTGTGCTCAAGGCTAGCACTCTACCACTTGATCCACAGCTCTACTTCCAGCTTTTTGATGGTTAATTGAAGATAGGAGTCTCATAGACTTCCCTGCCCAAGCTAGCTTCAAACCATGATCCTCAGTTCTCAGTCTTCTGAGTAACTAGCATTATAGGTCTGAGCACCAGCTTCAGAGTTTTTATAAGAAAAACAAGTCTACGGGAAAGTTATTAAAATGTAAGTGTAAGGTGCAATACCTGCAAACCATCTATCTGAAAGAGGACTAGTATCTAGAATCTACAGAGAATAGTCAAATCTCAACAGTAAAAATAAATAAATAATAAACAAATCATTAGAGTTGGGCACCCATGGCTTATGCCTACAATCCTATCTACTCAGAAGGCTGAGATCTGAGGGTCTCAGTTCAAAGCCACGCCAAACAGGAAAATCTGTGAGACAGTTATTTCAAGTAAACTATGAATAAGCTGGGACTGGAGCTAGAAGCTCAGAGACAGCACCCAGGCTGAGAGTTCAAGCCCCAGGACTGGCAAAAATAAAGATAATTGGCAAAAGAAATTAAGATACATTTCATTAAAGAAGATATAGTGGCAATTAAGCACCATAAATATATTCATCCATCGTTAGCCATTAATATTCATTTCAATTAAAACTATACTGAGATTTCACTACACATTTACTGAAAAGTAGTAAAACTGCTAAATGCTGACAAGGAGGCAGAGAGACTGGATCATTCATCCATTCAAAAGAGAGATTGTTTTCTACTCTGGGAAGCCATCTGGCAGTTTCTTACTGACTATCCAGGTGATTAACCATATAATTCAGCAAATGCACGGTTAGGGATTTATACCTAAGAAAAATTTATACCCATCTTTTACTGAAAACCTTGCAGACGAATGTTCATAACAATTGTATTCATACTAGCTATAGAATGGAAACAACATACATGTGCTTGAACAGATTACCATATTGCCAGGAGCCAGTGGCTCCTCGCTACTTAGGAGGCTGAAATCTGAGGATCTCAGTTAAAAGCCAGTCCAGACAGGAAAGTCCATGATACTCTTATCTCCAATAAACCACCAGAAAACTAGAAGTGGTGCTGTGGCTCCAGTGATAGAGCGCTAGCCTTGAGCTGAAGAGCTGAAGGACAGGGCACAGGCCCAGAGTTCAAGCCCCATGACTGGCAAAAAAAAAAAAAAAAAATCTAAATGGCTCCATTCTGTATGATACTATTCATATAACATTTCTGATACGGAGGGCCGGAGGGGTGATGTCAGGGATTGGAGACATGGATTGGAAGGTGTGGTGAATAAGGAGGTCAATCAGGGCAACATGAGGGAAAGCTGCAGAGCTGGAGGTGTTCACTGTGGATACATAAATTGCCCAGCTAATAAAATTTGAAAGAATTTAATATACAAATTGATATAGGTAAAACTGAGGAAATTTGAATAAAATGTGATATATTAATATGAACAGTATCCTGGTTGTGATAGTAGTGTATTATAGTTTTGTAAAATGTTACCACTGGTAGAAAATGGGAAGAGATGTAGAAATTATTATGAATTATTCCTTACAACAGTATTTACAGTTCTATTTACATAAATCAAGATTTTTTTTTTTTTTTTTAGTCCGGTCTTGGGCCTTGAACTCTGGGCCTGGGTGCTGTCCTTCAGCTCTTCAGCTGAAGGCTAGAGCTCTACCACTTGAGCCACAGTGCCACTTCCGGCTTTTTTCTTTTTTCTTATGTGGTGCTGAGGAATCGAACCCAGGGCCTTGAGCATGCAAGGCAAGCGCTCTACCACTGAGCCACCTTCCCAGCCCCCACTTTTCTTTTAGCTGGTGTCACTGAGGATTGAATTCAGCAGACTGAACTCAGAGCTTGTGCTTGTGCTTGGTAGAGTCAGAAAATGGATCCAGGATGACAAATGGTTCAGGCATGGTGACAGAGAAAAAAATGTGTGGCATTTCTTAAAAAATAAGCAAGGTCTGGGGTATGGCATAGTGGCAGAGTGTAGTCCTAGCATGAACCAGAGCCTGAGTTCAATTCTCAACACCACAAAAACACACTAACCTGTTAAAAAAAATTAAAAAAAAAAAAAAAAAAAGCAAGCCAATGCTTGTCCACATGGCTGGTCCTGGAGCCAAGGAAGACCCCCCTTTCTTACCTTTTCTATAGCTTCAGGGAGCTAGCAAAAACAAAAACAAAATAAAACAACCCACCAACCAGCAAACTAACATGGAAGGGTAAGTATGTCCCCTGCATGGGCAGTTAAAGTGGATGAGGTTTCTGGAAGGCTTGGACAACCAGGCATGGGAACTAAGATTTGATAAAGTAGGAAATATGAAGCTATTAAGTTTGAGGTCAGGAAAAGGACAGAGTGAGGAATAATAATAAATCTTATCTTTTTCATGAGAATACTGAGATTCATGTTTTCTCCTAACATGAAAGGCATTACTTTCCCAAAATGTTATTCAAATGTATTTTGCATTTATAGAGACAAAGCCTAAAGCAAAAAGAAAACAGCCATCAGGCACCACTTTGCACTGTCAGAAAAATCAAAGAAGTAGAATCTATGCCCAAATAATTATGGCCCACATAGAATTTTACATTACTAAATAATATCATATGTACATACTGGTCAAAATTGGCTTAATTCTAACCCATCATATTAACTGCTGTTTATAGATACAGTATTTTATAACCTACTTTAACAAACAAGTGCAGCATAAACTTTACCCTACTTAAAAGGTCATAGCACCCTCAAGGAAACACAATGAATAACTTCTAAGAAGATGCAAATTGTAATTTCAGAATCTTGAAAGTCTCACTCTCCCAATGTATCTTTATAAATGCCCACTATAGGTATTTTTATATCCTTATCCTTTTACAGTTCATTACAAAGGAACTATCAATCAGTTCTATAACATTCTTAAAACATTTTAAATGAGCCAATGTGGTTTCTTATTACACTCAAGTCTTCTCCCATTACTCCCTTTATTTTAGGCTCTAAAACTTAGACATTATTTTCTAACCATATGCTACATGCCATTTTGGGGATTATATAACTTTTTGTTTTTATCAAAATGGTACCCTTTTGGTTTAAGCTACATCAGACTTTTCCTAAATTCACAATTCTAAAAATATTCCTTATAAAATAAGAGCTAAACTAGTGGGCCTAATTAAATAGAAAAATATTTTAATAATAGTTTTTGTTTGTAATTAATTTTTGGCACTTTACATTTGCTAAGTTTATAAAAGTTAACCATTTGATTAGTTTATAATGAAAGTGAATTATTTCCTTCCATTATGAAGTTGATATGTAAAGACACTTGTAGACTTAGAAATGCTCTGGGTATTTTCATAGCTACTGTTTAAATTTCCAAAATATACAACGAACATATGCATGAAATTTGAAGGGTTTTTTTTTTGGTTGTGATTTTGCATCAGGTCCTTCCGAGATTTTAGGTTAGGTTTTGGAAGTTTAGGGGTAAAAGATCTTTAGTCATGAGGGTCCTTTTAAAAAAGTTTTTATAAATCATTAAGATATTCAAAGTAGAATTTGGCAGCAGCCTTAAAAGTATACTATCATAGCTACCATGAGTGCTTACATTTTTCCGTAATGTGGATACATAAGTATAAAGTATAAACTCTCAAGAAACTAACTTCCAGAATTACTTAAGAACAGAAAGGAAGCAGGAAAGAGTTCTGAACTTCTAAAAGACTTCCAAATACTGGTGTGGCAATGACTAGGAAACTACTTTTTTTTTTTTTTGGTCTGGTCGTGGGGCCTGAACTCTGGGCCTGGGTGCTGTCCTTCAGCTCTTCAGCTCAAGGCTAGCGCTCTACCACTTGAGCCACAGCGCCACTTCTGGCTTTTTTTTCTTTTTGCTTATGTAGTGCTGAGGAATCGAACCCAGGGCCTCATGCATGCAAGGCAAGAGCTCTACCACTGAACCACCTTCCCAGCCCCTAGGAAATTACTTTTAGCATGTGTATTTGAGTTAGTCTATTTGACTATTTCCTTATATAAAAAGACAATACTATCTTAAGTCCATATTTCTGGAGCAGATTTGGTTAAAATTTTTTTTTTATTTCTCATCATTCACAATTGTTTTTTTTTTTTTTTTTTTTTGTCGGTCGTGGGGCTTGAACTCTGGGCCTGGGCGCTGTCCCTCAGCTCTTCAGCTCAAGGCGAGCGCTCTACCACTTGAGCTACAGCGTCACTTCCGGTTTTCTGGTGGTTTATTGGAGATAGGAGTCTCATGGTGTTTCTTGCCCGGGCTGGCTTTGAACCGCGATCCTCAGATCTCAGCCTCCTGAGTAGCTAGGATTACAGGCGTGAGCCACCAGCGCCCGGCAACAGTTGATTAGGTTTTTTTTTTTAACTGTATATATTTTTTTGTCTTTTCTTTTTTGGTACTGGGGATCGAACCCAGGACGTTGAGCTTGCTAGGCAAGCGCTTTGCCACTGAGCTACATCCCAGCCCCACAATTGTTATTAAACAATGGCTTCCAACACAAAAGCATGACTTTTCTAAGGATGGTTCTGTGAATTCCTAAGTGAGCCATGAGTATTGATGGAGGCTCCGCTGGGTATGTCATTATTTTCAGACACAAGATTCGTGTATCTTCTAGAATCACTATTTGCTTCCCTCTGCTCCTTATCTTAGCTTTATATCTATAACTACTTCTAAACAAAGCAACAGTACAACTGAAACCAGTGAAAGGTATCATCAAATTTTACCCAAACCTCAGAAGCAAAATTTCCCTCAATAAAAAGACCGGATAGTTTTCACAAGCGAGGGGGAAGAGAGAAGATCCACTCCAGTCTTGGCCCCTATATTCCTGAGCAGTGGGCTGGGACTGGATGAGGAGGCCTGCCAAGGCATGGGGGGTGGGGGGATGGACCTGTGGGGCGGGGGGAAGGGCCTCACCGCTGTGGAGCCTTTCTTCACGGCTTCCTGGGCATATTCCACTTGGAAAAGATGTCCATCTGGAGAGAAGACAGTGATTGCCCTGTCGTAGCGAGAGGCCATGGCACAGGACTATAGAGATGCGCAGTCTCAGAGCAGCTCAAGCTGGTGGACTGAGCATCCACCACCACGCGCTAACTCCCGGAAGTCGTGCACTGCCTGGTGCTTCTGTCTCCCAGAAGCTCCTGCGCATACCGGAAGTCCTCCATACCGGAAGTCATTCCATCCTTCCCCTAGCAAGGCCTGTGAGTTGTCTCTGTTCCGGTGAGGCGGTGGTGCTCTTCCTGCCCGGTCTTGGCTCCTAGTTTTCCACCTCGGTTTTACCCTGAGCGGTGCCAGATTATTCACTGTGATTCATTTTTCGTGGTACTAGGACTGAATACAGGGTTTCACACGTGTTAGGCCAGCATTCTGCTTGTTGGCCCTTTTTGTGTGTACGTGCCAATCCTGGGACTTGAACTCAGGGGCTCACCCACTTACAATTGGATGTGAGACCTTTCACCCCCGAGATCCCACTGATCTGGCTGTCTAGGCCCGCATCCCCTTCCTCCTCCTTGCTTTTCTATTCAAGGCTGGTGTGGTACCATTTGAACCACAGTTCTGCTTCCAGCTTTTTGGTTATTAATTGGAGATGAGTGTCATAGAGTTTTCTGCTTCCAGCTCTTTGGCGGTTAATTGAAGATAGGAGTCTCAGTTTTCTGCCTGGATTTGCTTCAATGTTCAGATGTCAGTCTCTTGCGTATGTAGAATTGCAGGCATGGCTCACAAGTGTAGGCTTTTTTTTTTTTTTTTTTTTCATTTTGAGATCAGGTTTTGTTAAGTTGCCCAGGTTGGCCTTGAACATGTGATCCTTTTTCTTCAACATTCCAAATAGAAACTACTGGTATTGTGCAACTGGACCTCATATTTTGTATAAACATTTTAGAAGAGTAACATTTCAGCCCCTTTGCTTTTATTTATTTTTTGCCGGTTGTGGGGCCTGAACTCTGGGCCTGGGTCCTGTCCTTCAGCTCTTCCGTTCAAGGCTACCGCTCTATCACTTGAGCCACAGTGCCACTTCTGGCTTTCTCTGCTTATGTGCTACTGAGGAGTTGAACCCAGGGTCTCAGGCATGCAAGGCAAGCACTCTACCACTGAGCCATCTTCCCAGCCCCTCCCTTTGCTTTTAAATTCTAAGTTTTTCCTCTGTTTTTCTTTTTCCTCTACTTCTCTGATGGGTCTTTTGTCATTTGAAACCAATAAATTATAATTGTCATAATAGTGTTTTTTCCCCATTTTTTTCTTGTGTGCAAAACATTCTATGAACTAATGGCTCACTAATGAAAGCAAATATTCCATCAAATTAATGCTTACAGCAAAAATTAAGTAATGTTTTAACTGAAGAAATTACTGCTGGGATTACAGACCCACACCACCCTGTCCAGGTTCCCTCAGTGGCCATAGAGTCTTGTAAAAGTTTTCTGCCCATTTGGCTGGGAACCATGATCCATCTTCCTTTTTTTGGGGGGGGGGGGTCCGGTCGTGGGGTTTGAACTCTGGGCCTGGGCGCTGTCCCTCAGCTCTTCTGCTCAAGGCTAGTGCTCTACCACTTGAGCCACAGCACCACTTCTGTCTTTTTTCTTTTTGCTTATGTGGTGCTGAGGAATCAAACCCAGGGCCTCATGCTTGCAAGGCAAGTGCTCTACCACTGAGCCACCTTCCCAGCCCCATGCTCCATCTTCTGATTGCAGGTTTGCCACACACATCTTGGGACAACAGGCATATCCCACTGCACCTAGCTAGGGGTTGAGGAGAAGTCTTAAAGGCTTTTCTGCCTAGGTTAGCCTCAAAACATGATCTTTCCATTCTCAGTCTCCCAAGTAGCTAGGATTACAAGTGTGAGCTACTGTTGTGTGGCCCTTGTGTAAATCTATGACTTGCTGACTGAACCAGCTCCATTTCTCATGGAATACTTCTATGAAAGAATGATTATTTAGAGTCAGATATTTTGGCATATATTTGAAGGTGAATAAAGTGAGCCTATCACTTCAAGAAAAACAATGATAACAGATTTTACTTGTTTCAAAGAAACTTTAAAGTTTCTACCCAGGCAGAAAGCTTAGAAATTTTAAAGCTTGGGAATCTCATGGTTACTAATCAAAGTGTCCAAAAATTTTAATGTGAAGAATAAAGACTCGATGAAATTGATGATATAAAAATATGAATTGTGATATCCATATGCATATTTACTTGTATGTAAATATGCATATAATGTGCATATTTACAAAATATGTGTAACTTTTTGAACTAGTATTTTTCAACGAGTAATACATGATATGGAATTATATGTAAGTTTAAGTAGATAGGCCAAATTAACTTTACTTAAAGGTAACAAAAAAAGCATTTAAAAAAGAACCAAAAACAATGAAAAAAATCTTAAAGCAATCTTTAAAAAACAGGCATATTACTAATCCAAGGAGCAGTAAGAAGATAATCAGCTAATTTCTGATAATAATTCTGTATTTAACATGCCAGAAAATAAATACATGATATTCTCGAGTAAGAATACTCTTTAAAATTGAAGGCACATGAAAGTGTTTTTCACATGAACACACAGGTCATTTGTTACAAACACAAAAATATTAAAGAATGTTCTTTAAGCAGAAGAAAGTGATCTCCCTTTGGATATACAGGGAAAAATGTAAGACAAGTAAACACATATAGTTTCAAGTAATTATTAATTCAATCAAAATCATAATCTTCTGGGCTTATAAAGATATATAAATTTAAATGACAAAAATGCATGACTTGGGTAAGAACAAATTAAAGTGTCCTTTTCAATGTTGCAGAAATTGGTAAAGATTTTTATTTGTATCTTTGGTCTGTGAGTCTAGATTTCTCAGTTAGTTAGCTGTTAGGACAAATTAACTCTAGGAATAGGAGTGTGTGTGTGTGTGTGTGTGTGTGTGTGTGTGTGTGTGTGTGTATGCCTATAGTGGACTCTAGGAATAGGAATAGGAGTGTGTGTGTGTGTGTGTGTGTGTGTGTGTGTGTGTGTGTGTGTGTGTGTGTGTATGCCTATAGTGGATGTTTAACTGAGGGCCTGGGTGCTGTCCCTTAGTTTTTTGTTTGTTTGAAGCTGGCACTGGACCATTTGAGCCACACCTCCACTGCTGATTTTTTGCTGATTAATTTGAGATTAGAGTCTCTGGCACTTGTCTGCCTGTACTGGCTTTGAATTGCATTCTTCAAATCTCATCTGTCTGAGGAGCTAGGATTATAGGCATGAGCCACTGGTGCCCAGCTAGGAGTTGTTTTTGATTTTTGTCTTATAAATTCTAAACCTATTCTGCCTCCTGTAGAGACTGCTATGCTGCTACTGTTATGACTATTACACTTGTGAGTCAGCTGGTTTTCAAGCATACTTTGGAGCCTGCGAGCATTGTATGGTTATTGGGCAGGTTAAAAATCCTAACATTTTCTTCAATACGCAGTAGCTTTGGCAAACCTTTGGTTAATTTTATATGTGGTCAAAACTTGATTGAAACTTTTCTCTAGTTTTTCTTTTTTTTTCCTTTTTTATAGAAGATAGGATTTTGTGAGGGGAAATCCTGACAATTTAGAAAGTTCTTCTCCCAGTTTTTGCCTTCTAATTGTATTATTTAGAACATTCATATTCATTGTGACTGTCAATATTTTTGTGCTGAAAGCTATCATCTTACGCTTTCATATTTGTCTCATTATTTTGTAAAAGTTCTCACTTTTTGTTTTTGGTGTTAAGAGAAGGAACCAGGACATGTTAGGTCTGTACTCTACTACTGACCTAGTCCAAAGGTTCCTTTTTCTCTTTGATTTTTAAAATTCTTTTTTATTTTAAATTTTTGCTAAGGAGTTTGATCTTGGAGTCCTTGAGGGTTTCTTGTACTGTTTGAAATATCCAGGAGGTCAGAAATTTTGTAATGCTACTCAGTTGTTACATTGGCATAGTCATGAGCAAAATATCTGAGCTAATAAGTAAAGCATAAAAGGCTTATTTGGGCTCCATTTCAGAGTGTTTAACCCCACAGTCACTTTGCTCAGTATTTCTTGGTCTATGATGAGGTAGATTATGCCACTAGGAGCAGATGACAGAGACTATCTCATAGTGGACAGGAAGTGGAGACCAGACAGGGTTTGGGTACTAAATTTAACCTTCAAAGTTATGACTCCTGTGATCTAGTTCCTTTAATAAGGTTCTGAAATCCTGGTAGAACTTCCTAAAATAGCAGCGCCAGCTGGGACCAAGCACTCAGCACATGAACCTGTGAAGGACATTTCATGTTTAAACGATAACGTTTGGTCCCATGGCCATCTTACGATGCAAAATATATTTTCATCTCAAAGAGCCCCAAAATCTTAATATCAACATCATTCAATAGTATCATTTTTTAAATTTTAGTTTTTTTGATACTGATATGAACTGAATTCAAGGTAGGCAAGTGCTCTATGACTTGAGCCTTATCCCTGGTAAGCAGGCTGCTTCTGAACTCACAATCCTCCTGCTTCAACCTCCACAGTGATTGGATTACAGGTGAATGCCAGAATGCCTGTTATCATAAATTTCACTTTTATATAATCTTTTCACTATCATGTTATTCTTTTGTTCTCTTTTTTAAATTTTTGGCTATTTTCAAGGTGCTGGGAATTGAGTATGTAGCTCAGCGGTAGAGCACTTGCTTAGCACGGGCAAGACCCTGAATTCAGTCCTTTATACTGCAAAAGACTTAAAAAAGCAAAACAAAACACCCAACTACTTCTAATAGTGTTTTAGCCGCTTCTTCATGTTGAGTCAATTTTATTACATACCTCCAGAGTGGCCTTGAACTTACAATGTATTTGCCTCTACTTCCCTAATGCTGGGAATACATCCCTTTTCCAACATATCTAGTGATTGGGCACCACATTTTCATAATGAGAAATATAGGAATGACCTATTAAATATCATGCCATAAACAAAATAGCGAGGAATTCCAAACCTGTACATTTTCAACAGAAACTCTATAGAAAAATATTTCCTTACCTCACTAATCCTCAAAATATACTTCAAATTTAATTCATCCTTAATTCATTCAATGTCTGACAATGTAAGACTTCATGAAAATGCCTGTTAGGTTTTATTATAGTTCACTTTGAATGAATTTTTTCTGGAGTATCAGAAATAAAAGTCTTTTATGGTGCACTGGAAAAATAATTTGTTCTGGCTGGAATATGATTATATAAATATACGCTGTTCTCCTTGTAGTCTTGACATCTGTGGAAGCCACAACTCAAATTGACTCATCAAATGCCACAGAGACTGTGAGTAGAAATATTTTGAAAGATATTACCTAAGGGGTTTTGCTCTGAGCCCAATTATGAGCAGACTTGACTTGGTCTGTGCCTTCCTAATATATACTAAGAATTTATTGTAGCAGAGTGGCTTAAAATACCAGCAGATTTTGTTGTACAGGTATTCTATTGATTATAAACGAGTATTAAAGAAATTCTTTCAAGAAAGCAAAGTTATCTACATTATC